TTTTACATTGTACTAAGCACTTCATTTATGACTTCATTTAATCCTTACAGTCCTTCAAAATAAATATTATGCCCATTTTGCAGCTGAATAAACTGAGGCAAAGAGAAGTTTACTGATTTGAAGTTCACCAACTACTATGTAGCAGAACCAGAATGTAAATTCAGGTCTATTTGAGGCCAAAGACCAGAAGGACTGACCCTCAACTATGAAAGTCCCAGCAGAATCTTCTCCAACATGTTACCATTAGCCACTGCTCCCATTCTGTCTCCTCACCCTTTAATACAGTTCCTCATCTGAGAGACCTCCCTGCAGAGCAGGGCTGGCAACATAATTCGCATAATGAAAATGCAAGGTCCCTTGTTCAAAATTTATTACACATTTCAAGATGATAGCAAGAGTAGGGTCCTTCTAAGAGCCAGACTCTGTAGATTGCACAGGTCTCATACCGATAGAGCCTGTAGCTTTGAGTCTTGTTGTTTTTTTTCCTGAAATGTAGTTAGATTTTCAGTCTTTTTTTGTAACAGGGAAATTAAAAAATAAAATTCTTTGTGACAGGGAAACATAATTGGTTCTTTACCATTTCTTGCTGCCTTTTAAGGAAGCTGGCTCCTAATCTTTTGTTTGCTGAGCATGTTAATGAATGTACAGATGCAAATTAGAGGCAGAGGATGGAGTTATTCTGCCTATGAAAAGGGCAATGTGGGAGGGGAAAGAGTCTGGAACCTAATAGAGTGAAGAAGACTGAGAAGACTTGGGTGAGGGCTGATGGGAGATTTTGGAGAGAGGAAAGAACGATTGAATTGCACCCAGTGATGAAAGAACAGAGATGTTAAGGGGATTTTATAAAGGTTTGCCGTATGGTGAGTTATGTCAACCTTGTTTGGTGTCATGGTAGTTTTGATATCCTAGTCATATATATATATATATATATACACACACACACACACATACATATACATATATATATATATGGAGAGAGAGAGGAAGAGAGAGATAAACAATCAAAAATATTTCTTTCTACAATTTTAAAGTAAATACATAAATAGCAAAAACTAAATAAATCCATAAATATTCAACTGTGTTCCCCCTAAAATCAACTCATGTAATGCTGTTGGTACTCATATCACACTTTGGGAAATACTGCTCAAGGTAATTTGTAAAGAATTGTCTTTCATTGTAGGGAAGAAACCAGTGGTAGAGTGCGGGTTAAATATACTGGAGAATTTTGATTGAGGCTGCCACTCATGGTGCCTATCTGAGTAAAATGTTTAATTGCCTCCTCTGTTTCAAATGCCCATTGAAACGACTAAAAGATCTATAATGGTTGAAAACCAAGAGAACCAAGAAGAGTTCCATCTGCCATCAACATGCCAGAAATTTGGAGGGATTTCTGAAAGATAGAGAGGAGGCCAGGCCAGACACTACTGAGAAAAGTTACAGCAACATGTGTTTTACCTCAGGCTTAGGCCAAGCCTATCTGGCAGGGGCTGGAGGCTAGGGTACTTTGAGTTGGGGATCCATCTCTGTCCTGGAGGGACTCCAGAAAGCACACCACCGTAGAAGATAACCTAGAGTGGAGACTTAGGCCACAGTATGCTACTGCCAGCCAATACTTCCATCATATGGTGCACTGACAAGGACAGTCAATTGGGAAGGGGGGCACCAAGTGAACAAATGGCAGTTTCTGGTGCTGTCAAAGCCACTTCTAATTGTAGTTCCTTTCCTGTATGGTGTAGAGCAGTGAGCCCTCTACTCTAATGAAGTGTGCCTGGCAATATAATCTCATTTTTTGTACCCTGTCCTGGAAGCACTCTTCCAAGCCCTTTGTGTGCCCAACTTCTTCTAATCCTTTTTTTAGGCTTAAATATCATCTCAGATAGGCCATCTTCTTGTTGAAGTAGGTCCCTTACCTTAAACTGTATTGGTATCCACTTTCTTCACAGCACTCATTACAATTTGTAATTATTTAATTTGTTAGTTTACTTATTTTTTGTCTGTTTTATCCACAATATTTTAAGCCCCATGAGGGCAGGGTTCTTATCTGATTTGTTCAGTGATGTATCCCCCCAAATCTAGAATATACTAGGCATTAAATACATATCTATTGAATGAATAGGAGTTAGGAAAAACAAACAGAACAAAATGGGTTATTTTAAATATTGTCAAGATATGTAATATACAGTGAAGGGAAAACTGTAATGAATGAATGTTCATGCATAGTGTTAAAATACATAAAACAAATGGTTTAGAAATTCAAGTAGAAATGGACAAAACCATAGTCATGGTGGAAGACTCTAATACCTATCCTTTAGTCCTTGACAGATAAAATAAAGATATTGAGCATTTGAATAACATACTTTAGCTTGATTTAACATGTATAATAAAGTTAATATTCATATAATAATTTTCATATCATAAGAAAGTACCCTACAGGCTGAAAACACACATTCAAGTGTATGTGTATGGAAATTGGTCTCATTAAAATAAGAAACAATATTTTCATTGATATAAAGGAGATTTAAAAATTATAAGTGAATATTATTATGACTCCATCCTAATAATTATTTTGTAAGTGGATGATTTTCTAGGAAAATTAAAATTAAAATTGGCTCATGAACATGAAGAAGTGAAATGTTGTTAAGGAACTATTCTCTCTACAAAATACAGAGTCAGACTATTTATGAATTTTCCCAAACTTTTAATGGATCAAATATTTCCTATGCTGTTTAAATTGTTTCAGTATAAAAAAAAGATGGAAACTTCCAGATTATTTTTTGAAGCAAATATAAACCCCACACCAAAACCTACAGAGATGGCAGAAAAGGAAATGCAGGCACACTTTACTTAGGAATCTTGATCCACAAATCCTACATAAAGTGTTAGCCCTTGTGGGCTTCAGGACTGCAGGAATATTTAATATTAGAAAATATATTAATATTCAACAGTTAATAGGCAGAGGGAAGTGTGCTTGTGTCAGTAAATATTAAAAGCACTTGATAAAATCCCACTTCCATTCTTGACTAAAAATGAAACAAAATAGGGTGCTGAGGCAAATGTTGTGGGGGAAAAGAGCAGTGGCTGTAGCTGCCATTTCCATTTCCAGGGTTCCTATCAGGTCGTTAAGCACTTCCACATGGAGGCTGGCACAGGACCAAGCTCGGGACATGCAACTCATAACAGTTGATGAAAAATTGGATATCACTACTTTAACTGGTGTTCCAGAAGAGCATATCAAAACTAGAAAAGTCAGGATCTTTGTTCCTGCTCGCAATAACATGCAGTCTGGAGTAAATAACACAAGGAAATGGAAGATGGAGTTTGATACCAGGGAGCGATGGGAAAATCCTTTGATGGGTTGGGCATCAACGGCTGATCCCTTGTCCAACATGGCTCTAACCTTCAGTACTAAAGAAGATGCAGCTGCCTTTGCAGAAAAAAAATGGGTGGAGCTATGACATTGAAGACAGGAAGGTTCCAAAACCCAAGTCCAAGTCTTATGGTACAAATTTCTCTTGGAACAAAAGAACAGGAGTATCCACAAAATACATTGGCACTAACTATATCTCTGTGCTTGATGATGAATAAAGTCAGCTGTGCAGTATTTATAGTCCATGTATAATACATCTCTTAATCTCCTAATAAATTTGACCTTTAACCACAAAAAAAATGAAACAAAATAATAACAGAAAATTTGTAGTAAACCAGGACTAGAGGAATGCATCCTTAATTTAAAATAAAAAGTATCTATCCTAAGCTAGCAGCCAAAGTTATACTTAATGATGGAACACTAGTGCATTCCCATTAAAGTCAGGATCGACTGTAGTATGCCCATTATCATAGCTGTTTTTCACCATAGCTTCAGAAGTTCTAGCAATGCAGTGAGAGAAGAAAAAGAAATGAGCTCTTAGTATGAGAAAGAAAGGAGGCAAAACCACCTATATTTAGTGATAATATGATTGTATAGATCTGGAATGAAAACTGAAGAACAGTGGAGAGCTAATGAGAGTCAAATAAGATAGTAAATCCGAATATACATGAACCAAAATCAGTAGCTCTCTTACATACCAACAGTAAATCAGCTAGAAAATGTGATGAAATAGATTACATCTGCATAGCAAAATATATATGATATAAGGGAGTAACCGTAGTAAGAAAGGTATGGGACCTGTATGACTAAAACTATAAACCTTACTCAGGGAGAGAAGAAGAGAGTTGAATGAGTGGAGAAAACAAACCTATTATTGGGTGAGAAAATTTTGTACAGTTATCACTTCTCTCCAAATGAGTTGACATATAACTGGATTCATGCCTAGCACATGAGACACACAATGAATGTTTTTTAACGAATGTCAAATAAGTGAACGTAATTACAATAAAAATATTATTAGATTTTTTTGACTTGATAAAATGATTCTATGCTTCATCTAAAAAAAATCTTCAGAGTTAAGAATAAAATTTTTATAATGAAGACTAATGAAAGGATTGCCAGCTCAGTTATTAAAACATATGACAATGTAAGATAAATTATGATAGTGGTGGTATTGGTGCATGAACACATAGATTTGTGGAACAGAGTAGAAAAGTCAAGAATCAGATTTATAACTGTTTAATGACCTAGAATATGATGGTGGTATCATAAGTAGGAAAGGATGGATTTAATGTATTTGGACAACTAGAAAAAAAGCATCCCTACTTCATAATATACCCCAGGTGAATTAAAGATTTAAATTCCAAAAGTGAAATTATAAAAGTGTTAGAAGGAGGGTGCCTGGGTGGCTCAGCTGGTTAAGTGTCTGCCTTCAACTCAGGTCATGATCCCAGGGTCCTGGGATGGAGTCCCACATCTGGCTCCCTGCTCAGTGGGGAGTCTGCTCCTCCCTCTCCCTCTGCCCCTCCCCCAGCTTGTGCTCTCTCTCACTCACTCTCTTTCAAATAAATAAATAAAATCTTTAAAAAAAGTGTTAGAAGGAAATATTGGAATTTAGAATGTCTTTCTAAACATGACCCAAAAGGCAGAAATAGTAAAGGAAGAGATTGATACGTTTGATTACATAAAACACTTAAAACTTTTGAACTTCCCAAAACATCGTAAAAAATATAGTTAGCTGACTACCTTGAAAAATATTTGTAACATGTGACAGATTAAAGCTTAAGTTCTCTACTATACAACAAATGTATGAAATATGTAAGCTCACTGGTGATTAAAGGTGCAGTTAAAACAAAAGAAATACCATTATTTTGGTCACCAAACTGGCAAACAACAGCAAAAAGTCTAGGGCGCAAGAAAACTGCTATTTGTCTGCACTACTGGTAGAAGTGTACTTTTGGGCAGCCTTGCTGGAGGGTAATGTGGCCAAAATCAAGAGCCATTCCTTAATAATTTATCCCAAGGTATTTTTCATAGCTATTTGCAAATATATAGTTCCAGTGGTAATCATTACAGTGTTCTTTATTTCTTTATTTCTTTTTTTATTGAGGTATAATTGACATATAACATTATATTAGTTGCAGGTGTACAACATAATGACTAGATTTTTGTATATATTGCAAAATGATCACAGTAACTGTGGTTAACATCTGTCATCATAGATAGTTACAAAATGTTTTTTCTTGTGATGAAAACTTTTAAGATCTACTCTCTTAGCAACTTTAAATATGCAATACAGTATTATTAACTATAGTCACATGCTGTACATTACATCCCCAGAACTTATTTATTTTATACCTGGAAGTTTGTACCTTTTGATTCCTTTAACCCATTTCACCTACCCCTACCGCCTGCCTCTGGCAACCACCAATCTCTTCTTTGTCTATGAGTTTTGTTTTGTTTTGGTTTTTGTATCTATGAGTTCTATGCAGTGTTCTTTATAGTATCAATATCTTGTGAATAACTTAAATGTCTTTCTATGGGTGAATGGTTAACTCAGTTGTAAAAGAGCCTTATAATGGAATACTGTGAAATTATTAAAGATAGTGTTGAAAAATATTGAATGATATGGACAAATCATGCTACAGGAACAAAGATGGATATACTTTCCTCTTGTATAAGAGGGAATGATGCAAATAAAACTAAAAGCAGTTTGTTTGAAGTATTGAGGAAGAAGGATAAGGAGAGTTTTACAATGTCTAAGGTCTTGATTTTTATCAGTAAATAAATAAGCCATCAATATATGCCAAGAGTTTCTGTGATGGGGTCCAATTTCGTTGGGATACATACTGTTTCCAAGTTGTTAATTGATTGGGCCTCTGAATGTTAATGCTGTTTGTCAGAGGCAAGTTCAGTATTGTAATTCAGTTTACAGCACAACGATGAGATGTGTTAGCCTATTATGGCTTAAGCATTTAAAAAAATTTTTTTAATTAAAAATTTTTAAAAATTTAATACTTAGTTTTTCAGTTTCACAGCAGAATCACATTCTGATTATTAATAGTACCTAAGCTGTTATGAGATGTAAGTGTAATATCTGTTAGCTCTTAGACATTCCATAATTAATTAAATAAAGCAAAGGGTAATTGCTATTAAAGGGTCATAAAAAGTGATCAATGCTTTATATGTTGGGATTAATAATTTCACTTTTTCTTAAGGGTTCTCGAATTCTGCGTCTCCAAGTGAACATATTCTGTGGAGCAGTGAAAATGCTAATGGACAATCTCTGGGAAAAAAGTCCATTTGGGAAGCTCTGTTAAATTTTTTCTTTCCAACAAGTAAGTTCTTTGATTTTTTTCCTCCCAATGTCCTCATTTTGAAAAGATTAGTTAAATGTTTAGGAGGCAGTGTGGTCTATTGGCATTGGGGTGAGACGGACCTGAGTTTTAATCCTGACTCTGCCCTTTGCCTTAGGCAAGGTAATATCTCTGAACCTCAGTGTCCTCATCTTTAAAATGAAAATATTTACCACGAAGAATTGTGAGGATGACCTGAGACTGTACTTTTAAGACCTTCATAAACATTTGTTACTCTTTATGGAAATACTTTTCCTTCACAAATATCTAAACCTTTCACAATTTATCTTAATGGCATTGCCTGAAATTTAGTCACTGACCCAGTATTGTGAAATCAATGTCTTCTTTAGCATTAATCAGGGAACTATGTGGCTCTGATGTTATGGAATATACCAGATGTTTTCCCACCTGTTTTAATGATAAAAAGTTCAGGTTTCAAGTCACATCATCTTTTTGTGATTCTGTATATAATGTGTTTATCAAGCACATGATGACCCCTGAGAATTATTAGCCACAAGTAAATGTTTCATTTTCTATAGCATGTGGTACCGTTTCAAGGAGAATCTTCAAGTAAATTGACATGTGAATTACAAAGATGAAGCTTTTATTAAAAATCATGAGAATTTATTCTAACAAAATTTTATGTACATATATAAGCACAAAATTATATCCATTGTTTAATTTCAGATTCTACCACTTAATTTTTCTGTGATCTTGCATAAATCTCCACATTTCTCTATATTGGTTTCATCAAGTACGAAACAGGCATTATAACACCTACTACTAATGAGAATAGCAAAATAAATGAGGCCCTTAAATAAATTTTAAAAACTGTCATGGTCAAGTTGAGTGAAGAAAGAGAAATTTGAGGGGTTGCCTGGCTGGCTCAGTTGGTAGATCATATGACTCTTGATCTTGGGGTTGTAGGTTCAAGCCCCATGTTGGGCATAGAGTTTACTGTAAAAAATAAAAATAAAAATAAAAATGGGGGTGCCTGGGTTGCTCAGTCGGTTAAGCGTCCAACTCTTGATTTTGGCTCAGGTCATGATCTCAGGGTTGTGAAATCGAGCCTTGCATGGGGTTCTACACTCAGCGGGGAGTTTGTTTCTCTCCCTCTCCCTCTGCGCCCCACCCTTGCTCACACACACACACACACACTCTCTCTCTCTAAAACAAACAAATAAATCTTTAAAAAAAATAATAAAAATAAAAATAATAAAATCTTTAAGAAAAAAGAAAGAAATTTGAGAAGGTGGTATGTTGTGAAACTAAAAGAATGGGTTTAGTGAGTGCCAAAGTTGGTCATAAACAACAACAAATGATGATTTAAACTTTAGAGCTTATGAAGATAACAGACATAAACTGTCCCATAATTAACTCTAATAGCATTATACAAACACTGAAGCCACCTTTAAAAATAGTCTAAATAAGAATATCTGCATTTCCAAAATATTCCTTCAACCTGGCACAGTATGTTGAGTCAAAATCAATTGTTTGAGATGCCCAACAAAATCAGACTGTTCCATTTTAAGAGAAACATTGGACCCAGGTTGATTCAAATCTTTCAAAAACAGTGATTAAATATTTACAAAATATATATGCTATCTCTTTGAAAAGAATAACTACAAGTTCATAAAATGTGAAATACTTTTAACCAATTTATTTCCTCCCCTGTATAATTGAAAAGGAACACTCTTCCCACTTAAGGACTAAAAAAATGCCCGCCATTTTGTCATCAGGCCGTTGTTCATAAAAGATTTATCTCTTGCACATTGAAGTGATAACCTTGAGACAGACTGGCAGGGAAGCTTGAGAGGTCACACGATCCTTCTCTCTTTGGACAAAATTATCTACTTAAACCTGATAAAAAATTATTCTACCCTTTTTATTCTTCAAAATACAGGTGTCTCAGTAATTTAAGTCTGAAAGTTAATTTTAGTATCTGGCATAAAGTCCATCAGATGCAATTTCAGTATAAAATAACAGAAGCTCAGCATTAGATGGGATCTTAGAGATCATCCAGTCCAGTATTTTCTGTGATTTATAATCTTTTCTTTGATTTCCATTCCTGGAACGATTTTGAACAATGCCAATAGTGAAGAATTCAACATGCAGGAAGTCCGTACCATCTCTGACCAGGCCCTGACTATAGTCACCCTTTTTTGAGTGTGTGATGTCTAGGACTGAACATAGTATTCCCAGTGCAGTCCAGCCTGGGGAGGAAAGTCACTGTGAGCCTGGCAGAATTGGAGAATAGATTGCCCAGTGTATATAACAACAAAGTAGACCAAACTCTCACATGCCTGAAATGTTTGGGAAACGAATCTCCAGGCCAGCTGGAAATGCATTAAATTTGTGGCCTTGCACAGGCGTTTGATCCTTCATTTCTTTATTTCTAGAATGGGAGTTTTAAAACTCATTTTGAGAGTTTGTTGTGAAAATTAGGAATAATGTGTGTAAAGCAAGGAACCTGGTCCAAACAGGTGCCTCGTGAATGGTAGCTATTATTACTTTTACCTTAGTTTTAGGAATTGCCAATGTTTTAAAGATTTTAATTATTTATTTGACAGAGAGAGACACAGCAAGAGAGGGAACACAAGCAGGGGTAGTGGGAGAAGGAGAAGCAGGCTTCCCGCTGAGCAGGGAGCCTGTTGCGGGGCTCGATCCCAGAACCCTGGGATCATGACCTGACCTGAAGGCAGACGCCCAACGACTGAGCCACCCAGGCACCCCTAGGAATTGCCAATCTTTAAAAAGGAGAATATAATAAAATATACCAAGAGATAAAAAATATGCCTGTAACCATGATATTGTTTTTTGCTGACGTTAAAGTTCTTTGGAGTGATCATGAAACATCAGTTATTACTTTTCTAAGTCTGTAGTTGTTGGTAGTATTGGAGGTTGAACTGAATCTATGGTGGCCTTAAGCCATACTGTGGAAGTTTTCTTTTTGAATAAAAATACATCTACCTTTTTGGTTGTCATTTGTTTCTGTTGTAAAGCAGAATGTTTTTTAAAAAAAATCAACTATTTGAGCTTGCATGTCTCTATTTATTTATTTATTTATTTATTTATGAGCTTGCAAGTCTTATAAATTCAGATATGTATGGATTTATTGCAGTTGCATGAACCTTGGTGTTCATGCTATAAATCATTGCCTATTCAAAATTATAGAGTCATAACTTAAGGCCAAAAGGAGGGATCTTAAAACATACTGTAGTGCCAAAATGGTAAGTGTTCACAGAAAGTAGGTCAATATCAATAGTATCCACTTACCTTACAGTCTAGCAATAAACTGTGACTTTTACTTACATTCATTTTCATTGACATATTCAGTGAGTTTCTATAGGTTAGAAAAATTGAGTGAGAGGATATCTATGGTATTATTTTAACAAGGTGTTAGTTTTAAGGATATTTGATATTTCTTGTCATTTAGCTCCTTCTGTGTTATATTTGTATCACTACTACTCAGCTTATGATCTATAGTCCTTTTAAAACTACCTTACCAATGACCTGTTAACAATTTATATTTTTTTGCAGTTCATCTAGAATTGAAAATGTGATGTTAGTAACTTTGTGGTAATTTTTAGCTTAACTCTTATTTTTTTAGCATTCATCACTATTTGTATATTTTTAGCATTCATCACATTTGAATGACATATTTGTATATGTCATTCAGTATTTAAATGTACCAGTTTGCATTTTTTTTGTTTTGCAGACATTATTTAATTAGGGAAAGTGCTTATTAACCATAGTGAATTCTTTTTCTTGGATTTTGTTTCTAAAAGCATGCATTCCAAAGGAGAATCAGGTTGTGAAGGCTTGCAATAAGCTGCAAGATTATAACAAGAGTGAATGTTTGGAATACAAATGCTGTTATTCATCGTTCAGGACCAATAACTTCAGCTGCTTTGCCCCATTAAAAGATAGTAAGTTCATCCTCTTACATTTATTATATTTCTATTTTTAAAAATCAAATAAATAGGTCACAATGGCATAAATTTAAATTTGGACCTTCCAGCTTAACACTTAAAGGGGGCTCCCAGCCCTAAAGCAAAACTGTCTGTAAAAGTCCTGAGGTGGTCAGGCCTCTATTCATGAACAGTTTCTGCTTAGCCCTTAGATGTGACTTTGGCGGTTCAAAATCAGTCTCATCTTTTCTTTTGCTTTAGTCACTCTCTGTCTTCTTCCAAAGATTCCAGACTCTATGATATGTAACCCTCAGTGCCTGGGAGAAAATACGAGTCAGGCATGCCTTAGCTTATTTTTCTCTTCTCACTTTCTCTTCCTACTTTAGTAGAATTCTTCCCATTTATCTTGTCTTCAACATCTCAGTATGTAACAGTAGACTCAAATGTTCCTTGTTAAGGTTTGTTTATTAGTTTCTCTTTGTTCTATTGTTTTTGAATCAGGTTCTTAAGATTTTTTTTTTCTTTACAAAGTTTTAAGAACTAGAACATCTGTTTTTGCTCCTGCATTTGGATAGTGGAGACATATTACCAGTTGGTCTCATGATGGACATATTAGGTATGATTAAACACTAACAAATACTACAAAAAGGATACATGCATGCAAAACAATGTCTTAGGTTAATATCGTCCCTATTCAACTTACAGCTCTTTGTTGAACATCTAGTATTAATAATGGAAACTGAAACCTGATCATGAATATAGTATTACAATTTCAACACTGTCACATGGTGTTTATAATTCATTCATCAGTTTAGTCTTTATATTATGTGTGAAGAGACATTTGGTCTTTGTAGAGGGAAAAATTGAACCGTGACTCAAAATTCCCCAATCATATTAGAATGAATTTCCAAATGAATATAAGAATAAAATATGCTTGGGGCACCTAGGTGGCTCAGTTGGTTGAGCATCCAACTCTTGGTTTTGGCTCAGGTCCTGATCTCAGGGTTCTGAGATCGAGCCCAGCTGCAAACTCTGCACTCAGCGTGGAGTCTGCTTGTCCAGCTCCCTCTGCCCCTCCCCCTACTCTCTCTCTCTCTCTCTCTCTAAAATAAATAAATAAATAATATGCTTATTCACCTGCAAATTCTTGATTTCTTGTTTAATGTTTTGTAATTTGGAAGTAAACATTTAAGAAGCCATTCCTTTAACAAGTTAACTATTCATAGATTAATTCACTCCTTGAGTGCTCGAGGATGTATAACATATGGCCAAGGGAAAAAAAAACACTTAGGCCACAGGAAGAAATATGTAGTATGAGTCATAATAGTCTGTTAACAAAAACAGTAGGATCATTTTGTTAAGGCTTCCTTTGGGAGGCATGTATTCAAGTGTAGTGTTTAGTTGTATTTCAAGAACATTTCATAAACTCCTGCTCCTGATAGAGTAGCAAAAATATTTACCTGACATATAAGAATACCTCCTTATTTTGCTTTATTCACTGGTAGTTTTTTAATAAAAACTTTATGAAAGAGCTCAGATTTGCTTCTCTTGCTTGTCATAAAAGTAACAGGATATAATTAAACCAACAGAGCCTACACAGATGTTCCGGATGTTTGGGCTTGGTGTGATCAGCATGATCATCCTGGGATGTCTGCCCATTTATTGCTGCTCTTTTTGCCGGAGGAGGTAGGCAAACATAAACTTTTATTTGCTGATTGCTGAGTGTATTTGGATATTTCTTGTAGACACATTTATTCATATGCACTAGAAACACAGGGATTGTGTTTGGGTCCCTTTTGTTTAAAAGAAGGTAGCTTAGGAAAAACCTAAAATAGAGTTACCATAATATTCTTAAATGCATGTTATTTTATTTTTCCATAAATTTAGACATTCTCTTGCATAGTCTGTACATTCCCTCATCAGAGAATTGGAAGGAAAAATACATCAGTGAACTGGGAGTGTATGAGTGGAAGTGGTTATTAACTGCAAGTCAGAAGAGTTCCCAGAAGTGTTGTCTCCATCTAGTAGCCGGTCATCTACTATTGGGTCTTAAAAGCCTTGGTCTGTCTTCAAGCCAATTTGTATCAGATTTCTTCTTAGCATCTTATAAAAAATCCCAGTGGCCTATTGGCACAATGCTTCTAAGGTTTTAAAAAAAATAGCTCCCTACCTACTGGAACAGTGGATGTGGAGATAGAGAGCAGGGCCAGGGGGAGTGAGGCAGTTGGAGCACAAAATTTAAGGAGGCACTCACTCTCAGATTTGTGCAAGTGCAGGGTTGGCACTTCAGTTCTCCGGGAAAGAAAAGGTACCTGGGGTGCCTGGGTGGCTCAGCCGGTCGTCCAACTCTTGATTTCGGCTCAGGTCATGATCTCAGGGTCCTGAGATAGAGCCCTGTGTCGGGCTCCGTGCTCAGTGGGGGGTCTGCTTCTCTCCCTCTGTCCCTCACCACCCCCTCATCCCACCCCTGCTCGTGCACGCGCATGCGCGCTCTCTCTCGAATGGATAAATCTTAAAAAAAAAAGTCACCTGTTGAAAATTAAGCATCTTTGATGTTTTTATTTGAGTTAATGAGAAGGTGGTATTTGAGGTACCAAAAAATGGTTTAGATTTCACTGAAAGATTGACACTATACACGAGTTACCTTATTTTCCATAAAGATCATTAAGTCTTTTTTCTTCTTTTTTGTATCTTTTCCTTGAGTTTGATGAATGTGTCATATTCATCACTGTATTTTCAGTCCATAGCAGGGTGTTTAATATATTTTTAAGGTGCTTAATATATTTTTGTTGAGTAGATGAATGGTTGAATGAATAAAGAAATATAGTAGATGGCATTGGCTAGCCTGGAAGGCAGTCTTACAGTAATTTAGACTTTCTCATCATTACATCATTTTCTCAGACCATTTTGAAGACACAGTGGAGTCCCAGCCTTTCAACTCCTCCAATTTTCTGACGGTCAGTTCTCTCAGTTTTCACTTAGTTTCCTATACAGAGTGTGTAATCCCTAGGCCTCTATCATTTTGTTTCTTTCCACAGATGATTGGGAATAGGAGTGGAATTTTTGACCCTTCCTTCTTCAAAGTTTGATTTCAGATAAAAAATAACCCATGAATAAAAATGAAATACTATTTGCTAGAAAAGAGTGGCTAGGATTATGCCATGCAATTTAGAATGTCTGGTATAATAGGCCTGGTATAATAATTTCATTATGGCCACTCTATTATGTCTCTGTCAAGGAGTTTAATGGGCTATTCAGGTACACCGGATTTTTCTTTAAAATGAAATTAAAAAAAATGAAATTCAAAGAATTATTCCTTGATAAGAATATGTTTTCTTCTTTCTACATAGTATAAACTGCTTGAGAGACTTGAACAATGTGAATAGTATACTTATTGAACACCAAAACTTTTGGTTTACTATGATTTATTTATTTATTTGTTTATTTTTTAAATTTATTTTACGATTTTGTGTAAGAGTGGTATGTTTCTTCAGACATCCTGGGTTGTTTGTTGCAACCTCAGAGTATGTGCTTATTAGCAGCTTGCTGCTTAGCTTAATTTCCAGGAACAATGGATGTTTGAGGGTGGTTGTGGCACTGTCAGGCTTTTCCTGGTAAGCTGATTTTAGAGGCAAGGGGAATAATTGTGTTAGAATAAAGATCCTATCCTTGATACCAAACAAGGAGCTTAAATGGAAGCCAAAGCCTGCTAACCACCCCTCTGCATTTTTGGGGTCAAAGTATCTCTTTAGAACTATCTCCTTAACTCACTTCCTTCCATTTCAAAGAATAACGAGATAGATAAAATATTACAGTAGGTAAAATAAATGACCACATGAAAGGGAAATAGATGCAGCAGTAAAATCAATATGTAGTGGTTTTTAAAAGAAAAGAAAGTAGCCAAACACAGTTGTTTGTCTAAATCAGAGGGGCTAAAAGCCAAAAGCAGATCTGCAGTAACATGATCTGGATCTATTTGTTGGAAGAACTCTTGAGGCATTGGAAGATACTCTTAAGCTCCTCCTCCTGCTGGATCCTGTCCTATACATTAAATATACATACCTTCAGATGTTGTACCTCTCCCCTCTTGGCCTTTTGTTGTAAGCCAAAACAATGTTTGACATTCCCCAGCTCCTGCAATTTGGACAGTGAGTTTTATTTACAGATTGCCTTAGGAGCTAACAACTGGCAAGAACTGGAGGGAGTAAAAATGAGAAGTAATATGAGCAGGTGGGAGAAATGAAAGCAGTTTAGAGGAAGAGGATAATCACTTTCCAGAGCCAAATGTATTTCATTCTTTTGGTACCTAATTCATGCTTTCCATAGTTGACCATATTTAGTCACTGCTTGTGCTAGGGAGGACACAGAAATGTCCAAGACATAGGCCCTATTTTCAAGGAGCTTAAATCTACCTTAAAATAAGTCCCAAGCATGACATGTTAAATAACAGTATAAGATGGGGTATAATTAAGGACTAAAAGAGTGGTGGCAGTAACTTGTCAAAGTTCTGAGGCAGCAGGGATCAGGATGAGTGGGAGAGAGCAGAGTGGGCTCTACAGTAGAGGTGCTGTTTGAGCTGAGTTTTAAAGGGAGGACAAGATTTAGGTTGGAGGGGGCTCCCACAGAATTCATTACATCCAGATAGAGTCTCCTCACGATAAACCCCTGAACTGCTCATCATTTGTAAGCAGAGGCGTCTGAACTTTGCTCCTGAAGTAATCTATAATGGAATCTCTAGTTTACTTCTACTTGACTTGAGTTCATGTGTGGTATGAACCAGTTACACAGAGAACTCAAGACAGCTTGAGCTGGTTGCACATATACAAAAGGGAGCAGAGAGCATTAGTGAAAAGCTTTCTAAGAATTTGCTACTAATAGCCTTATTAAACTTGCATATAAGATGAGTTTTGAAATTCATTACATCTTCAAGGTTATATAAGATCTATTTTTATTCTCATTAATAGGGATCAGAGCCTCATTAGGTTTAAGTGTCACTGACAGGCTTAAGACTTATAGAGAGATGAAGGAAGGAAAAGATCAGGTGGATGAAGACAAAAGGAAGCAGGGCGGGGAGGTGCTCTAGTGGAGAGAGGAGAAGAGTGGTGGCTGAATTGTTCCCGTTACAGTAATAGAGTGCCAATAACAGTAGTCTCAAGTGCCAAATTGAGTTTCTAATCTTTATCTGTTTTTAGATAAAGTTTAATCTCTATGCATAGGCCAGTTAAACATCTGTGTATTATATAGTGATATGATACTTGAGTATGTACATAGCTTTGGTAAGGTGGAAAATTCAAACATTATAATGCCATGCCTATTAAACTCAGATGGAGTGCATTTTCTTGTTTTTTTTTCCTCCTATCAGATTGAATTTGCAACTTTGAATTAAGAAAAAATTCAGAACTCAGTCTGCAAATGACAAAACTATGTTTTCTTTCAACTAATAAAAAGCCATGTTTTTTTTTAAGATTGTAGATCATCTGATACACAGATGATGTAAATAGCACATCCCCCATACAATTTCAATGTAGCTACTTGCCAGATGGCTGTTACTGAAAATTCCTACATTTAGACAAATGCTGCTGCGTGATTCTCTGTATTATAATGTGGTTTTCATTATGCAGATAGTCTTAATACCACTTAGTTTCTTAGAATGGGAGGTAAAGAATTGGGAATAAATGTGTCAAAAATTGCCTAAAAATCACCACCCATTGAATTTTAAAAATAGGCATTTACATTTTCAAATCCCCATGTTTGTGTTTCATTATACTGTACAATATAATTAGTAATGTTATTTTGAAAAGCTTTATGCCGCAATTAGCCAACTGCTGAAAGGTTTGAAGTTCCTGGATTATATACATACGAATTCAGAGAAAGGAAATAAAGTCTATAAATTTTAAAAGTGTGGCTAGTCTCTAAGAACTTTGATAAAATATGATCAGATGAGAATATGAGCAAACTGGAACCCTGCTCTAACATGAGTCACTGTAGATTTGAAACTCACATAAAACCAGTTCTTCTTGGACCCTGTTCAAGGTAATTTAGTTACTGAAATAATAAGAGAATCTCATTATATGCGGATTATATGTCTGAGGTGTTCCCATTGCAAGGACTCCAAGGGCAGCATTTTAGAGAATTCTGGAATAGTAGGTACTATTAAAAAGAACATTTTGTTGCCAAGTAACTAATAACCTCATTGCAAAATGCAGTGGCTTTTTCTCAATTCCCATTCAACTTGACCTTTTTGTCCCATAGTAGTAAACTTTCTTAAAACTTTCCTTCCTTGGATTTCATTGTTCCCCTTACCATTCTGATCCATCTGTTTGCTTTTCTTTGTTCTCCCAACTGTGGTTGTTTCCCAAAGTCTTATTCTCGTCTACCAGAGAATATTACAAGTATGTATCAGAAAGAACATTTGAAAAGATCTGTGTTCTAGTTCTGCCTTTCTACCAGTTTTATAGTGAGCTTAACTTCTTTTGGTACTGGTTTTCTCTTAAAATTAGAGTGGAGAATTGAGTTAGATAATTTCTAAGGTCCTTTCTGATCATAATATTCTGGGTTTCTCTTTTAAATCTGAATCCTAGGGGGCGCCTGAGTGGTTCAGTCAGTTAAGCATCTGCCTTTGGCTCAGGTCCTAAACCCAGGGTCCTGGGATATAGTCCCCCCCCCCCCTGCATCTGGCTCCCTGC